AGTATACAAAAATAAATATCTGCTGTTTAAGCCACATAGTCTGTCATACTTTGTTGTAGCCACCTTTGCAATTAATACAGGCAGATCTTCTAGATACCTGAGCTACTTGCAAGATAGTGATATAGAGCCATCCTGAAGGGAGGTCAACTGAGTCTGCAGCTAGGTATGAGTACCTGGGAGAGAGACTCCTAGATTTAGGATTGGTCAGAATTCCTCTGAATGTTATGGCCAGAGGAATGAATAATATCCTTGAGAGTGTGATGGTCAGTGTGATATGCCATCTTAGCCAGGCTACATCCCCCAACTATTTAGTCAAACACTCACCTAGGTGTTGCTGTAAAGGTGTTTTGTAGAGGTATTTAAAAATCTATAATCAGTTGACTTTAAACAAGGGACATTATCTTAGATAATCTGGTGGACCTGATCCAAACAGTTAAAAGACCTAAAGAACAGAGTTGAGGCTTTCCTAAGAAAGACAAAATTCCGCCTGGGGATGGCAGCCTGCCTTTTTTTAATGCCTGGTCTATGGGCTCCAACCTTGCTTAGCGAGCCGCACAATCATGTAAGACAATTCCGTACAACAAACCTCTTACCATGTACATCCCTGATGGGTTCTGCTTCTCTAGTGAAAACCTGCATGCCAAGTGAAAACTGAAGAGAGCTAAGAAAGCTCTGGAAATATGACCATTTAAGAAACACCAGAGGCTGGCTGGCATAGCTCAGTGGATTGAGCGCGGGCTGCGAACCAAAATGTCGCAGGTTCAATTCCCAGTCAAGGCACATGCCTGGGTTGCAGGCCACGGCCCCCAGCAACTGCACATTAAAGTTTCTCTCTCTCTTTCTTTATCCCTCCCTTCCCTCTCTAAAATAAATAAATAAAATCTTTTTTTTTAAAAAAAACAGCATTCTGACACTTAAAAGAAAAAAGAAACACCAGAGGAAATGAAGTCTGTGATGGAGACTGAAAAGAAACCCAAAGGATGTGGACAGAAGTCAAGGACAGGATGCTGTCAGAGAAAGTGAGGAATGTAAGATTGGTCTACTATGTTAAATCTCCATAGAAGTCAAGTGCCGGACAGCCTAATGTGAACATCTGACACATGAGTGCTAGCACTTCGGTGAATAAGTGTCAGGGAGAGAAACTAAGTGCACTGAGCTAAAGAATAGGTGGAGACTAACAAATGAAGAGGAGGGATGATTCCTCCAAGAAGTGTACCTATGGTAGACAAGAGCTAAGGAAACTAAAAAAAAAAGAAATGTTCATGGGTATTGATTATTTCTAAGATGAGAGATACTTGAGTATATCCAAGTGCTTAAGGGACAAAAGTAGTGGAAAGGGAGAGATTATGGATAGAGTAGAAAGAAGATAACTGATATGGCAAAGATGCCAGGAAAGCAGGAGGCAATGAGGTTCAAACACAGGAGCGGGAATTTGCCTTTGACCAAAATGAAAGGTGGTAAGGGGAGGATGGCTGCTGATGCCCATAGGTAAGAGGAGTGTTCCTAGCAGCTGGATGCTGGTATCACAGTGAATGCTTGCTGACCATGAGGGGAGTATGGTCAGATACAGGGCTTGGGAATTAGTATCAATTAATTTTTGTAATGGGAAATGGTAAAAAGAATTGGTTCCTTCTGGAAAATAGGATAGAGACAGGAAAACTAGGCAGAATTAAGGTCAGATACACTTGAAGGCAGAAGTATTGCCCTGATAAACATAAAATTAATTTTATTTGGCAGCATTCAGTTAGCTGGGTATAGGAACAAGGAAGATGGGTTACTGGCTTGATCCAGGATTAAGGTTTGGTGGAAGGCAGTGATGAAAGAGCAAGAAGGCAAGGTAGTTGAGTATACTATCCAGAGAGGCCAAAGTTATTGCTCCTGGGGTATAGACTAGGTAAGAAAAGATGAAATACAGCAGTCTGGGAGAAAATGAAGGACTGCCAGGTAAGGAGTATGCCAATGTCTGCAGAAGTGATATAGTGGAAAATGAATAGCAGAATGGATCAAAGCACAGGATCTGGGGTCAGGCTGCTAGGATCATTCTAGTCCCACAAGTTAGAAAGATGTGACCCTAAGTTATTTAATCTTTCTTTGCCTTCATTAAATCATCTGCTAGATGGTCATAGTAACATACCTCTGGCTGGAAAATTAAAATAATTCACATGAAATAGGCAACTTTACCAGCCTGGCATATATTAAGTGTTCATTAAATTTTAATTATATTTTGCAAAGGGTAGAGACAGCTGTCTGTGTGGGAAGTTGTAAGAAGAGTGGGACAATAGATGTTTAAGATGTTGGAGGTGGGGCTGCCTGGCAAGTTCCAGGGTTTAGTCAGGGGTGGGGGTGAAGAAAGCATGAAGTTTGGATCCTGAGTGTCACACCCATAGGCACATAGGTGGGACCCAAGAATGTCAATCAAAGGCTGAGGAAGAACTTCCTATTCCAGGGCCACAAACCCTAAAGCCTGGAGGGAGAGGAGACTGGAATCCACAAATGTTAAGGTTTTCACAGTGAAAGGGTTTAATGTGCCCTAGTATTAGGGAACTGAGGCAGATGCTACATATTAAATGATGAAAACAATTGAAACTTTAATTTGTAACACAGGTCAAAAAACAGTCAATGCTTTTCCAACAGCCCTAACTTTCTCCCCAGGTCTGAGCTGGCCATACTGGACTGGCACCTGCCCTGCCATCTGAGCATCTAAATTCCATCTCCAGAATAAGTTGCTACACTAAGATGACCGAACTACACCAGGACCCTTTTGCATGTATATTAAAGTAGTGTTCTTCTCAAAAGTGAGCTCCATCTTTTCAGGTAATCTTGCTCAGCCCTCAACATCAGTTATAAAAGTTGCATTGGAATCCACGCTTGTGCTCTGCTCTCGGTTCTTTCTGATGAGCATCCCAGAGCCCTCTTGGTGCTGCCTTCTCCAATCTTCAGTCCTTTCTTCACCCAACCCAATTAAACCCAAGTCACCCAACTTGTCCTCTGAAGTTTTATTTTTCAATTCTTTGACTATATATCAGTCTGAACAAATTCTAAATACTCTGAAATCCTTTTAGCTACAGGTTTAAGAGAACTATCATTTTAATAGGTTAGCATTTCAGGATGCTAGTACAACTCTTCATGTTTTACTTATTATCAAATTTAATCTCCAAGTAGTTGAGAATGAGGTGGGAGGATCAATGATGTTGTTATATGAACTCACTTTTGTATTTTTAGCTGAGATTATCCCCTTCTAACAAATGTAGTTCTGAATATTATATACATTATATATGAGATATTATACACATTATATATATGTATATATATCAAGTCCAATGATTCTTTTTCTTTCTGACATGTCTAATGTTCTCCATTGTCTTTACACATATTTTAGGATTTTTCATTATCCTTAATCCCAGTTTGCAGGGCCATATAAAAAAACTGAGAGCAGCTAAGGAACTCTTCTCAAGCAAAAACATCAGGTGCTCATTCCAATGACAATAAGCTGTATCTGTTTTACTCAAGCACTTAAATATAATAGGAGCAAGAATAGACAGGTTTTTCTTAGCGTCCTCTCTTTATGTAACAGTGTAACAACATTTTATCACAAAACAATAGCTTCTGTACCATAGATCTCTTAAAATTTGAATTATAGAATACAGCTGTCTTTTTTCTTTTAGTTTCAGCACTGAAATTACTAATGACTTGGAAAAACAATTTGCTTTTAAAATATCTCCCTCTCCTATAGCCATTACTCATCACTGATAGAATTCCTGTTAAGCTATTATGGAAACCAAGGGTACCAAGATAAAGATAGCAATTGTAGGTAAAATGAGCTTTATAATGTATGTGGAGCATTAAATGATGGTTTTTAGTTCTGGAGCATGGATAAGGATAAAAAACCTGACATTCCCAATCCAAAAAGAAAAAGATAAAAGACATTTGTATGACAATGATTTCCCAATAGAATCAGACTCCTGCTACTGTGGATATTCATAATAAAATAAGTTCATAATAGATTTTTAAAGCTATTATGGCACCTTCATAAATAGCTTTTACGAATTTAAAGTTCATAATAAAAATTAAAAGGCTGTTTCAAAACTAAAGTCAAAATAAAAGAAAAGAAATTAACCCCTCATTTTTTCAATATCCCTAAATTGAGTGACTTGCCCACTTTATTTCACAGGAACTTCTCAACTGAATGTAAGTGTCTAATTCACTCTTCCAGGTGCATCTCCAGAGTATTATGTCTCCTAGAAAGTGAAATACATCTCAAAGGGCAGCCAGACCAAAGTTGGGGTGGTTTTTTCTTTTCTTTTTCTTTGTTGAAAAAGGCCAAAATAAGAATCACTCTGCTTACCAGAAAATTAGCATTATGTGGATAACTGGATATTTATTATTGGAAGTTGAATTCAACATAATTCCATGAAAGAACAATAACATAAAAACTTCGATTTCTCATGGTGGGAAATAAAACACAATGCAATTTCAGTACTAAAAATGTTCATATACGGATACCAACAACCTTAAATAGTAAACTGGCAGTTGCTTCATAAAACATAATACTAATCTGATAAATCACAGAGCATCTATGGGTCAGAATTTTATCTTAAAACATATTTTCAAAGAACAAAACAGTTCTCTGGCACAGACAACCAAGCAAAAGGCCAAGCAAATTGACTAGCTTTCTCTCCAGCAGACTTTGGCCTCGCTCCACACCCTAATACTTACCCTGCACAGAGTTTTCAGGAGGTATTGGAGGAATGGGGTAATTCCTACATCCTCAAGAACCTCTGGCCGCTGGGATTTACCCTGTGTGAACCTGACAATCCCCCAAGAAAAACTGTCCTAGGAAATCATTCACGTCTAAAAGGCCACCTTCTGAGAATCTCTGGAGCCCTGCACAGGCGGAATAGAGGCCCCACCACCCGGCTGGCGCCCCACCGCGGGTTTCGGTAGCTATCCCTGACCCCTCTCCTGGCTCCTTCCACTGCATGCCGGGACCCTGCGCTCACCGAATGATCACGAACATGACCAGGGAGTTTCCCACCAAGCCCACGACGAACACCAACGAGTAGACTGCCGTGATGATGACCGGGATGGCGGGGGAGATGTGCGAGGTTTCTAGTGGCGCGTCCTCAGAGCCCGCACTACTGTTGCTGTCCGGCTCGGCCCAGCCTGGGTCCCAGCTGCTGCTGTTGGGAAGCAGGCAAGTGCTCGGGGAGCAAGTGGGGCCCAGATTCCCTCGGAAGATCTGAACTGGGGTGTCCATGGTTGGGCGGCCGCTGGCGGAGAGTGAGGAAAGGCTGCACCTGCGGGGCTGTGGAAGAGAGAAAGGGCTGGAGGTGGAGAGGCAAACTTTGCCGCGCCCAGGTTAGCGCGCGGTCAGCGGTGCTGGGGACGTACGGCCCACTGATGCCCACCCCGTCTGCACGATCCCGGGGCGGGACGAGCAGAAGGATGTCCAGCTGCCATCCTAGGTAACACGCGCGAGGCTGGGTGCCAGGAGGAACGGAGAGCTCTTGATCTTTTTCTCTAGCTCCTGAGATGCACCCTTCCTTTCCTAGGCGTAGTCCCCTGGTGAAAAGGTCCTCAGAATGCCGCCGGGAGTCCCTAGGGACAAGACCTCAAACGCCGTGTCTCAGCTCCCAAGGACTGCGCCTCCAAAGCCCAAAGCTCACCTCTGGCTCTCGGACAGGCGCAGCGTAGTCCAGAGGACGCCCTGGCCGGAGCTGAACCGAGCGTTCCTGGGTCCTCCTCAGCTCTCTGCGTTGCTGCGCACCCGCAGCCTCGCGCGGGCGCTCAGACCACCGCCGGTGACCTGCCCCAGGGCACCTTTTCAGCCAAGCGCAGTTCCCCCGGCTCAGCGCGCGGCTCCCAGTGGCGGTGCTCAGCCAGGCGGGACGCAGCGAGAACGCGTTGGGCTCACCCTACTTGCCGGCTGGGAGCTCGGGGTGGCGCGCTCGCCCCACCCTGGCCGCTCACAACCTTTGGGGGGGGCTTGAAGGTTCAGCCGCGCGCCCCAAACTCGCCTCTCGGGCTCCCCCTTCGTGTGAAGTTCTCAGACCCTCACAACAGCCTCTTTTAGATGGTTTGGCAGTCTTTCCACCGTTCTAGTTCAAATACCGAGAGCCGCTGAGTCGTTTAGATTTAATAGTAAGGAAGCATGTGCCTGTTTAGTGCAAGTATGCATCTAAATTATTCTTAATATGCCTAGAACTTATTGTAGGTATAGTTCTCAGCACACATCCTTTTTCAGGTGAGCAGAAAAATCGTAGTTTTGTTTATTTGAATGACCCATCCGAATACAATTGCAAAATGATCTGATTAGAATACGACAGACCATAAAATATTAATGATTTAATATGCATAAATAGAATATTTCCATTCCCTTCAGTATCCTCTAACTGATGTACAGACTGAATGAACCTTGCAGTTATTACCTGTACTGCCTGCAGAAGAACAAAACACTCTCTTTACTCAGGCCTCAGTGTTGATCCATGTAGGTGATAATGTCTCTATTACAGTAATCCCTGAACCCGTCACCCATTCTTGATTATAAGCCTTCTCTATGATACCTCTGAGAAACTGAACCCCCATAGAGAAATTCAGATATCATCATTTCTGTGGATAACTCTGCCTGTCCGGGTATCGCTGTCTGATTCTGCTAGTTGAAAGAGGCCCTCAAGCAAAGGAACCCATGAGACAATGGCAAAGGTAGCATAGCAAGGGTAGTTTGGAGGAGGGAAGCCAGGACTCAGGAGGGTATCCAGAAGGAGAGTGGGGAGGGTCCCCTTTCCTAATCAGGTTTTGCAGGCAGGTTTCCAGAAGACCAAGGCACCCTATTTTCCTGAGTGGATTCCTGTCTAGGACTGACTTCTTGAGACAAATATGTTCCCCACTGCTTCCCACAGCTCATATCCATGTCCACAATGGGACACCATTAAGATGGATACAGTTATTCCATCCATCAGCTGACAGCAGAAGAGTACTCCTATCTCTTTCAAGACACTGTTACTCCCAAAGAGAAATTTTAGCCACAAGTTTTACGCAGCTTGGAAATGCTCAGGTCTCTTGAGCCAGTGTGATATGAAGAACAGAAAACCTCCCCTTTGCCCAGCAATCTCCCTTCAACTCTGGACACCTTCAAAGTTTTGATAAGTAGTATCAAATCTCATATTTCTTTTAACACTGATTGCAAATTTTATTAGAAGATATCATCTGCTTTCACAAAACACTGGACCAGCTGATATCTCCATGTGTCTTGGAGTGCGAGCGCGCTCTCTCTCTCTTTCTCTCTCTCTTTCTCTCTCTCTCTCTGTCTCTGTTAGGAAGATAGCAGAAGACTTTCAGATGTTTGAGAGTTCACTTTCTGCTAGTGGAAAGTTTGAAGTTCACAAAATTTGAGAGGTCTCAAGTCAGTAAAAATAATATGTTAAGAACAATAGTTGGGAAGGGCAGAACTATCCATTTATCTTTCTATATATCTGTGATCTATTTGGCTATTTGTGATTTCATGCATCAAAGATACAATTGGTCTGTGCTACACATTTTTGAAAGAGTGTTTGTAATGTCTATCATTCCTTTGCACTCATTTACCATATTGGTTAGGCTGGGTTTTTCTTTCTTTCTTTCTTTTTTCCTATTCAGGTGGTTCACACAGCTGGCAATATTAAAGCTGGGCTCAAACACAAGTGTTTCTGGCTCTAGCAATATGCTGATTGAACAGAATGATTCAACACATAAGGGAAGAAATGCAGAAACAGTCTTTTCCAAAATCAATAGATACAGGAGGGTGTATTTAGAAAGATCCCTATTAAATGGTAATGTTTCTGCAGCATTTTCTCATTAAGTTGATTTTCTTGCCATTCTCACTTTGGCACCCATATTCCTTTTCATGATGGTGCTAACTGCCCTTTATCTCTTCAACACTGAATCTCCCCAGCATTAAATAGTTCTGCACCATGTACACAAACAAATGCTCCACCAGTGCCTCAAATATAGCTTCAAAAAACCTGAGCTCATTAAGTTTCGTCACCCCCTCACCCAAGCTTGTGATTTCTCCTAGATTTCCTGTTTCAGTGAATGGCACTGTCATTCAGTTGGTCACTCAAGCATAAGCCTACCGTAATTCTGGGTTCTTCCCTCTCCTTAACTTCTGTATACATTCAAACCACTAGTCTTCCCAATTTAATTTTCTAAATGATTCTCAAAACTATCTTCTCCTCACTATTTCCTTAGCAATTGTCTTGCTTTTGGGTTGAATCATCTCTCACCGAGAACATTATAACAGCTTTACCACTCTTCTCTCTCCAAAAACTCCCTCTTCAAATCCATGAAGTACCACTTCCACTAAGCAATCCACCCACAGCCTTAGCACACATACTCTCAGTCTGTGCAACACTCAACTTTTGTGACTCTCCACTTCCATGTCCCTCCATTCCCCACCTGATTTTCACCTTAGCACCATGGGTGCCTGCTGGTGACACTGCAAACACACAACTAGGTGTCAGGCTTCAATGCCTTTGAATGTGTGCTTCCATGCCTTTTCTTCATGATAAGTTCTTGCTCACTAGCGTGGCACACTAAGATGCCTTTTTGTTATAACAGTGCCCTTGCAGGACATTTGGTCCTGTCAAAAGTTTCACTGAGACATGTAGACCACACCAAAAGGTCCTTAATATTTGGTTCTTGATATTAGGTCCTGTTCAAAATGTCCACCAAGACATTTGGTCATCTACCTAATCTCATGTGTCATTACCAGTTAGGCTACCAAGGTGATAAAGGTTATTATTGGCTATATAACCAGAGCACATCGGATCAATAAAACATACAAAAATATAATAGTATTTTGTATGTATTAATCCTATAAACCCAAACTATAAATAAACCTATGGGCTATTTGAACTCAGGGATGTTTTCTAAGCATGGACACTTTGACCCAATATCAAGAACCATTTGACATGGAGCATATATACTGATGTAGGTCTTTGATAGGATCAAATTTCAAAGATCTTTTGGTGTAGACCTAATGTCTCTATGAATGTTTTGGACAGAACCAAGTGTTGACTGTTTTAACAGTGCATGATGCTGATACAATATGGAATTCCTCACACCTATTCTTGCCCCTCCAATATATTCTACAAATTAAAGATAAATAATGTCTCAAAAATCCCAGATCTGAGCCTACTAACCTCTTGCCAAAGATTCTTCAATGCCTTGCTATTACCCTTACGCTACAATCCAAAATCGTAAACATATTTGTTAGGGTCCAGAGTGTCTTGACTGACATTTAATTTTATTTCATACTTTTGTTGGCCACCAGGCTCAGGTACCTTTGCTTCCCTTCAGCTCCACAAATGTGCTCTACTGTGGTCCATCAATGTCCTTCACATATGCTGTTCCCTTCCTAGAATGGTCCCTTTGTGTCTCTTCACCTGGAGAGATACCACAGAGTCTTTATATGCCAGCTATAATGCCACTTCATCAAGGACTTCCTTAATGCTTTTGTACTAAGTTTTAGTGACATCTGGTCTACAGGGCCACTACAAACATGGGCAGGTTGCACAGCTGCAATAGCTCACAGCATGCTTTCATGCCAAAGACATGAAGGGGACTTGAATATGTATTATGGAAATTTGCTAATAGATACTAATAAAGTGTCTTAGAAAAGGGGAACCATTTTGGCTACTCTGTTTGATTAAACACTTTTCCTATATAACACTTACCAGAGTTAATTTTACTTGTTAATAATTATTCACAAACTTTAAAAAATTTAGATTTGGTCTCTCACAGCAGATTATACATCCCCTTTGGAAGGAGATTGTATTTGTCCTGTTTGTTGTTGCGCCCGCAAGTCTAGCCCTCTCATCTGCCACCAATGACATTCAGCAACAACTGGTGAGTGAAGTGACCTGGAGCTGGCTGCATTCTGGATTTCTCAAGGTTGTGTGGGCTGCACCAGGAGTCTTAGGCTAATGGAACTGCTTTTCTCAGCTATAAACTCATTGTAGTTTGATTTCTGTTTTCAGATTCACAAGAAAGTGAGTTGATCACAATTTGCTGGTAGGTTTTCTAGTCTCCATGATAGAAATACCAAAGCACCCACCACTAAAAATTCTTTGTAGCATTAACTAATAAAAATCACTGAAAACACAGTTTTCAGCTCTCAGTGTGCTTTACTTGTAGTTATAAGCAGAGTGTTTGCACTAAGCAGAATTAGAGGTAAAACCCTAATAAGTTTAATAACATGTGCCTTATGTCAGTGTATAATCATGTACAGTTTTTAGCACTTTATTTTTCCTTTCTATTTTATAAGCTTTTCTCCAATATTATGATAAAATCTCATACTCATGACAACCTGACAGCACATAAGCAGCTGTCCTCACTGTGTTGAGAGACACAGGCCAGGTTCCCCTGGCGACCAGAGTGGCCTGAAGGCCTATCAGTGGTCTGCAATTTTGGTCTTCACTTTATTTTGGCCACCAATCTGGTAAAAAAAATGGGGGGAGAGTGAAATACTCAAATGAAATAAAACTGCTTTTATCGTAATAAGTAATTCTTTTGCCTTCAAAAAACTGTCTAGTAGAGGTATCCTATTAATGATCAAAATTAGAACATCACTTTATATTTTGAAAGTCTCAGGCAGATTTCTGCATTCTATTTTTGTTACAGAAGTATTTTCCCAGCTGAACCCCTCCACACACATTATACAGGGGTAGGCAATTGTAGGTTTACAGTTATGAGTATGTAACACACAGTTTATTTTATACTATTATTTACTTATTATTGTAGTATTTATTTGTATT